TGTTGTGCTCGCGCAGCCCCCACCCCCCCCCCCCTTAGTAAAGAGCTGTATATTCCACGGCATATGCATCACTGCCTCCTAAAACAAGCATGACAGTCTGCAAGTCTTGACATAGGAAAGTGAAGTTGTTTTCTAACGTAAATGCCTCATCAACAATTCTGCCACTCCTACAACCCCTGTAAGAGCCGATTGCTTTTCCGTTGAATTAATTAGCAAGAGAAATTAATTGATTATGCAAAAATATGTATACTAGTAATGTATCTCAGATTGAAAACCTGAAAGGAATTCTTTGTTTTGGTAGTGTGAAGAGTTCTGAAGGAAAAGTAGTTCTAGGAAGTTAACTTGGCTGGTATTTAGTATTGCAATATAAATATACAGACACTAATACTGCAGGGAACCAACATTTTTATTCCTTCTCAGCAGATGAATTATTGATTGTGATAGCCCATCAACTAGGTGAACTGAACTCCATTTGAAGACAAATTAAATTAGCATGCCTCTGTCCAGTATTTTTTTAAAAAAATAATTAGAAATCAGGTTGCCTTTTTAATTGTAGAAAATATACCTGACGGAGGAGCTGGTATCTCATCATTTAGAATTGCAGCCAGGTGAAAGATGACTGGATTGTCCGGTATGTGCAACAACACTGCCCTCTAATGGGCAGAATACAATACATCAGACCTATCCCAAAGGTTTGTGATTGCCTCAACCCTTCTTGGCAGAAGGGCTGTAAAGGGACTACATACCGAGCCCTACCGCTAGTGCTAGCGAATGGATAATTGTTCTTTCATTTGAGTGGAAGTAGTCTGTATCTCAAAGGTGGCTGAATTTTATGCCCTGGGCAGCATGAACGTTGTACACTCTATTGTGACAAACCCATAGGGAGCAGCCTACAGCACAGCACCAATTACAAACAAAAACCAAGCCTGCAGACAATTATATAAGTCTCCCTTGCACATGTAGGCATAGAAGTCACTAAGATTAGAACACAGGCCTCTACCACTTGAGCTCCAGCTGGTTGCTGGTGCAGGTCTCTTATTTTCTTTTCATGCCTGCCTCTGGAGGGCACCATCACTCAGTCATGCATGCACAAAGCTAGTACCTTATGCCAGGGGCTGTAAATCTTTGGTATGCAGCCCATCAGCTCCTATTGGCTCGGAACTGTGAACCGCAACCACTGGGAGCTGTGGGGGGTTGTGCCTGTGGATACCTAATGTAAATACACTGTCTCATGCTCCTGCCCACAGATTACCCCGGTGAGCCATGAGCCAAAGGTTGTTTGCCCTCCTTCCCCCCACACTTACATTAAAATGACAAAATTAAAAAATACCTGAATAGATTATAACTAAAGGCGAACTTCACATGCCCAATATTTGAAATATTAAGGATTCATAACTTTATATGTATGAAGGAATTAATTCCAGCCTTTAGAGATTGTTTGACTTGCTAATTTTGTGGGACAAGGTAGGTAAGGCCATAGCTTGTATTGTATTCTGTTAGTGAAAGAGCAAGCTTTTTCAAGCTACATAGCTCAAAAGCTTTTCTGTTGATATCTTTGGAGGTGAAAAATGATACAACCTCACCCACCTTGTCTCTCCAGTATCGTGGGATCACCTTCCCTACATCACTGCAAATAACAATTGCTAACTACGGAAACCATGCATTTGAATGATCTGACACTGTACTTTATGAAAACAAACTATAAAAATAAAATCCCATGTTTAAATCGATTTAAACTGATGCCAATTCAGGGATTAATGCTCAGAACAAAACTTTTCTTGCTGATACCACGCACTAAATATTTGTTTGCAGTGGATCAAATCTTAGAACCACTGATTTGATTTCAGGAGCTGCTAAAAATATATGGAAGCATTTCTGTGCTATTATGTGAATAAGAACATAAGAATGGCCATATTGGGTCAGACCAAAGGTCCATCTAGCCCAGTATCCTGTCTGCCGACAGTGGCCAATGCCAAGTGCCCCAGAGGGGGTGGACCGAAGACAATGATCAAGCGATTTGTCTCCTGCCATCCCTCTCCAGCCTTTGACAGACAGAGGCCAGGAATACCATTCCTTACCCCCTAGCTAGTAGCCTTTTATGAACCTAACCTCCATGAATTTATCTAGCTCTTTTTTAAACTCTGTTATAGTCCTAGCCTTCACAGCCTCCTGCCAAGTGCCCCAGAGGGGGTGGACCGAAGACAATGATCAAGCGATTTGTCTCCTGCCATCCCTCTCCAGCCTTTGACAGACAGAGGCCAGGAATACCATTCCTTACCCCCTAGCTAGTAGCCTTTTATGAACCTAACCTCCATGAATTTATCTAGCTCTTTTTTAAACTCTGTTATAGTCCTAGCCTTCACAGCCTCCTTGAGCAAGGAGTTCCACAGATTGACTGTGCGCTGTGTAAAGAAGAACTTTCTGGGTATGTCTACACTACCCCCCTAGTTCGAACTAGGGGGGGTAATGTAGTCATATGGAGTTGCAAATG